CCACCGGCCTTCGGTGACGTCCACAGTCTGTGATCTTGAGTCGAATGTTTATGAAGGTTTTGCTATTATATATAAAATGATAGAATATTTATTCGATATATTTATATATGTTTTCAACTTATTATGAGGGTTGTGTACAAGTCAATTTATAACATATTTTTTTTACAAACTTTATCACATGTGTTATTAAGAATCCTCGTCGTATGGAGAAAGTTTTCGAGAAATATGATAATAAAAACGTAATTCAAAGCTAAAAATAGGACATGCAACATTAAACTAAACGATCTTTCTCAGACCACGGGTTTCCTCGTTTTGGTTTGTTTGTTTATAATTAAGCACAAAGCTACACATTGGGCTATCTGTGCTCTGCTCGCCCCAGGTATCGAAACCCGGTTTCTAGCGTTGTAAGTTCGCAGACATTCCGCTGTGCCATTTGGGGGGGGGGGGGAGTCTCGTTTTGGGGATTCCAACTTGTGCATTGATTGACTAAGATATAATGTGCTTCAGAGAACTACGATTCAAAATGTATTAACGATGACTTTTCTTAACACATAATTCCAAATCATGTTAAATACGCGTAGAAAAAAAGAAATATTAATTTCTTAAATATAGACACAATGATCGTAGTAGGTAATATTGAAGATATTCAAAGTTTCATTCGATTATCCGGATATATTATAAATGGTCTTACGAATATTTTTTAAATATAGACACAATGATCGTAGTAGGTAATATTGAAGATATTCAAAGTTTCATTCGATTATCCGGATATCTTATAAATGGTCTTACGAATATTTCTTAAATATAGACACAATGATCGTAGTAGGTAATGTTGAAGATATTCAAAGTTTCATTCGATTATCCGGATATATTATAAATGGTCTTACGAATATTTCTTAAATATAGACACAATGATCGTAGTAGGTAATATTGAAGATATTCAAAGTTTCATTCGATTATCCGGATATCTTATAAATGGTCTTACGAATCTAATTAAATTCCGCATCTCTCTAAACTCTATCCGTCCGTTTATGTTAGTTTGTTTTTAATTAAGCACAAAGCTACACAATGGGCTATCTGTACTCTGCCCACCACGGGTATCGGAACCCGGATTCTAGCGTTGTAAGTCCGCAGACATACCGCTGTGCCAATTTACATTTGGAAATTCCCCATGCAACATTAAATCATCTTTTAATTATCTACAACTGAAAAAGATCAGCATATTTTAACAGATATTTACAACAAAACGAATGAAAACCCTATCACTCTGCACCTTTAATCACATCGTTCGCTTTCCTAGTACAATGGTACAATCACTGGATGCCTACACAGAATTGACAGCATCTGCAACAATGACAGTGGTAAGAACAAAGTTAGATCAGAAATTCATGAACTACTATTCCATAACGGATATCGTGTAGCTTCGTATCTCAACTTATTTCATCGTTTGGTAAGAAGAAGAAGAAAAGATGTCTCCAGAAATAATCCAAACATGTACAGCAGACCACTGAAATGATCATATCCCATATCCGTGAAAACTTTAGAAACCAAATTTGTAAAGCTATTAAAAACATCAAACTGAATATACAACTGATGTATAAATCAGACATAACTTTTAAACATATTCTCGTCACATAAATAACTAGTTAAAATACTCAACTCATATCCAAACATTTGATATTATTGTTAACTGTGACGTCAGAAATGTTATATGTGAGCTTAAATGCAATATGCTCAGCAGAATACACCGTAGAAACTGGATGTCCTATATATGACAAAGTGAAAGAAATTTTCAGAGAAGTAAAATTAGGCACACAGTGAACGAACCTACTGCAGAACAACACATTTAATACAGTATGACACAAGGTTATATACACCCCATTTCCGTAAATGTTTAATCTAAATGTCACAGTTTCAATGACAAAAAAACAACAAAAACAAAACCTTACCCATTGCACCATTTAAGCCACAAACCAATAAAAACAAGGGTTAGCCACTTTGAATTGTCCTTTTGATATTCTGCGATACGTTAATTTTTGTTTTATTTTCACTTAAAGGTTTGCTTTGGATTCTTGGTTTTGGGTTAACCTATCAACATAATTTTTCCAGTCTGTCAATTCGTTTATTGTTCTTTCTAGCTTTAATTTCTATTTTATTTAACTTCATTATTAACATTATCATACAACAGTTGTAGTTGACCGTGTGAATAATATCCGATATTACGTTTAGAATTACTTTTCATATTGTTTAACACAAACTGGAGTTTATTACTAGACATCTCTCTTAGTTTAAATAAAATAACGACCTATATCTTCATAAAGTATCTTTATTAGCTCAATATTTCACTGCACTACCTAGTTATTAATAACCTACAGATAATCGACTGGATTAGCGAATTTGTAGGTTATCATTAGCTCCTGACGAAGCTGTAATAGTAAAATATTAATTTAATAAAGATATACTCTAGAGATTTAGTTACTTTAATAGAACCGTCTGCCCCCTCCTGGTTACTGCATTTGTTATAATGCCGGAATTCGTGTTTGAATAGCCGCGATGGGCAGAGCACAAATAGCCCATTGTGCAGCTTTGTGCTTTACAACAACTAAAACAAAATTTAACCCTCTATTTAATTCATTATGACAATAATGTGGAAAAATGTTCTCTGTGAATTTCTTATTTAAATATGTTTTTGTGAGATATATTTTGATAAGTTATAAATGGGCACGTTACCTACATTGTTCAGTTGAGTAACCAAAGAAAAAAACAATTCCACGGTTTATTTAGATTGTTACCTGGAAGTAAAGGCATTCAATTGGCTACAGAACTGAAACACGTGTATATGTATTAAACAATAAAGACAGATTTGTTATCTATAGGTTAGAATGTACACTAAAGGGTTAATAACCGTTTCTTGTTACTACTCAGATATAATGCTGTACCACGGAAAAGATGCAATTCAAAAAGTCATTAATAAACTGTTTTATATCGGAGTTTAATTCGTTTTTCAACTTATCAAAACCATTATTTCTCTCATTATATCTTATGTAAAAAGTAATTTTCATTTCTTTTAAGATCTTATTATTTTAATTATAAAGTTTTTATTTTTCAAGACGTAATGTATGATCGACTGTTAAAATTAATTGTTTTTTATGCGAGAAATTAAAAACATATTTCATATCAATTATTTCATAAGATACAATCAATTTTTCTTTTATATGTTGATGTTAACCCATTAACTGCAAATACTATAAACACGCACGGAATTTTTGCAAGCCGTACACCGTATACGGGGCCCGGCGTGGCCAGGTGGTTAGGGCGCTCGACTGGCAATCTGCGGGTTCGAATCTCCGTCACACCAAACATGCTCGCCCTTTCAGCCGTGTGAGCGTTATAATGTGACAGTCAATCCCACTATTCGTTGGTAAAAGAGTAGCCCAAGAGTTGGCGGTGGTGATGACTAGCTGCCTTCCCTTTAGTCTTACACTGCTAAATTAGGGACGGCTAGCGCAGATAGCCCTCGTGTAGCTTTGCGCGAAATTAAAAAAAACCAAACCACCGTATACGGCATACTCGCATTCGACTGCCGGAGGTGAACCGTACCCTATACGACGAATCAGCAGCCAATGGGTTAATGAAGTTTAATTGCATTTTCAAATCAAAAGAAATGAATTTGTGAGATAAAATATTTTGTGGGAAGTCTTGTATTCTTCTACGTAATTAGTTTATTAAACTTGCTTTACAAATTATGAAGAATTTCATTCCACATATTTTTACTTCATTTTAATTTAAATACAAATAACAACATATTCTGATAACGGTAATTTTAAAGCTAGGTTTTATCGGACTCTACTTCTTAGTCACTAGATCATTTATTAGCAACCATGAGAACTACATTTCCGAACAGATTCAACCGAGTTGATAAAGGACTTTATTTTCTGTTTACTAAACGATATTCCCGTCCATACGCAAACTAAAGTAGTAAAAAGTTATGGCTTAAGCTGAAATTGTTTCATATCCGTCTGGGCTTACAGAGAACTTCCGTTGATAGTCAGACAATCACCAAACAATTCATTGGCGTAAAATAAAACTCAAGTAGGGAAATGAGAATAATAAGCTGAAGTCACGCTTCTTATAATTGAATAAATCCTTAATGCTAATGCTACCTTACTTAATTAACCCCAGTAGATAAAATAAACAATTAAAGTAATAAACTCTCACATCTGGCTTGGAAATTGATGTAATTTACTTGTCAGTTTACTTGTTCAATCAAAAGAAAAGGTCGAACTCACAAAGCCAAAATTAACTGAATTGCCTGGCAACTAACAATTTTAAAATATAATACGTTAAGTAATAGGAATTTGGTTGTCTAGCAACTAACAATTTTAAAACATAATACGTTAAATAATAGGAATTTGGTTGTCTAGCAACTAACAATTTTAAAACATAATACGTTAAATAATAGGAATTTGGTTGTCTAGCAACTAACAATTTTAAAACATAATACGTTAAATAATAGGAATTTGGTTGTCTAGCAACTAACAATATTAAAATTTAATACGTTAAATAGCAAGAACTTGATTGTCTGGTAACTAACAATATTAAAACTTAATACATTTGTTAAATATTAGGAATTTGATTGTCTGATAACTAACAATATATTAAAAACTTAATACATTCGTTAAATATTAGGAATTTGATTGTCTGATAACTAACAATATTAAGACTTAATACATTCGTTAAATATTTGGAATTTGATTGTCTGGTAACTAACAATATTAAAACTTAATACATTCGTTAAATATTAGGAATTTGATTGTCTGATAACTAACAATATTAAAACTTAATACATTCGTTAAATATTAGGAATTTGATTGTCTGATAACTAACAATATTGAAACTTAATACATTCGTTAAATATTAGGAATTTGATTGTCTGATAACTAACAATATTAAAACTTAATACATTCGTTAAATATTAGGAATTTGATTTTCTGATAACTAACAATATTAAAATTTAATACGTTAAGTAGCAGGAACTTGATTGTCTGGCAACTAACAATATTAAAACTTAATACATTCATTAAATATTAGGAATTTGATTGTCTGATAACTAACAATATTGAAAGTTAATACGTCAAATAACAGAGATTTAGTTGTATGATAAGTAACAATATTAAAGCTTAATGTATCATATCGTATGTATTTAATTGTCTGGTTTAACTTTTATCAAACACGAGACAATAAAATGGGCTGTTTGTGCTCTGCTCATCGTGGGTATCGATTTTTTAGCATCAAAGCCCTCAGACTTTCCACTGAGTCACCAGTGGTCCTGGCTCGCAACTAATTTATTAATCTAATTAACAGAAATCTAGTTAAAATCTGTATGTAGAACTGGTCTGACAACTAACAAGTAAAATCAATTACGATTCCATATTTGAGCATACTTCAATCTTTCTCCGCCAGGGAGAAATTCATCAAAGTTCCCTATCCAATTATTTAAAATCAATTTATATACTAGTCATTTTAAGGTACCTTACTTTCAAGGCAATTTATTCTTTAGATAAAAAAAAATTCAAGTAAAAACAACGTTCTGTAGCCATATCTATTGCGGTAGTTGAAATACTCGCTGAAAAATATTGTTTTGTCCAGTGTCAGAGAGAGAATATATTTACATATACTGATGTCACCGTTTGGGGTATCGATTGTATGCGGACATTGGGCTATCTGCTGTCTCCACCACGGGGGAAGCGAACCCCATATTTTTCCATTGTAAGTCCGTAAACTTACCCCTGTCCAACCTGGAGGCATTTAAGTAGGAACTGGAATTTTCAACCTGAACGGCATTGTATGCGGACGTTGTATACACGACCACATCAAAAACCCTATGGGATTCAGGTTTTGTTTGTTTGTAATTAAGCACAAAGCTACACAATGGGCTATCTGTGATCTGCCCACCACGGGTATCGAAATCAGAATTCTAGCGTTGTAAGTCCGCAGACATACCGCTGTTACGACGTGGGGGGGGGGGGGGTTCAGGTAAAGACGTCTGTACGTATCAGTTACTGACCAGAAAAAGGCGGATAGTTAGAAGCAACTTTCACCACATTTGCTTTTAAACCGTACAACATAACTGACTGGCATAGCTGACAAATTGTGGTGTGTTCAGTAGGCCTCGCGTATCGAACCCCAGACCCTTCTACCTGAAGCATGACACACTAACCACTAGGCCACGCTCAGCCCAATAAAGTGTAGTTGTAACATTTAGTTTAAATTTAGCTAACACTATTTTCGGTGACAAGTTACTTAAACTTATATAACTTATAATCAAATCTTTAGCAACAATATTTAAGTTACTTTATTACAAAAATATTACTCACACAATAACAATCAATGCATGATTTTAAAGGTGCGTTATAAAGGTAAACAGAGAAAACCGGTCATCGTAATAGTATTGTTGACATCACCAAAAGTTATTCCGATCTCTCTCAATCAATAATACACGTATGTGATAATATTGAAACGTACAAACAACCGAAATTAATTAGTTTCCCTCATAAAATAGCAAAAAAAATTACCTCTTTTATTTCTGCAATATTAGCAAGTAAAACAAGATACAAAAATCACTCACAAATTTTAGAGAAACGGAAGATCGTAGAAATATTTTTATTGATTAGATCTGACTTTTGAAAAACTAGTAATTGAAAGCAATCTGCTTTAAATACAAAGCGTCTATTTCATATTAAAAGTAGAACCTCAATAAAAAGGAAAAAAGCAAAAAATGTATTCTGTTGCTACGTAGAAGTTAAGGTTTTTGAACAAAAAAAAAATCTTGAAATGTTATATTTATTAATAAAACATGACAATAGGAGAATGTTAACGACCTCTGACGAGCTACGTTCTAGATCAATTTTATAAATAAGATCTGAAAAACCAAACGATAAGTATCTGCTCCCCAAATTAAAAAACAAAAATGAGCCTGTATTGAATATTATGATTTCAAGCCATAAAATCGTATAGGATATTTTACGATACGAAGAAGTTAAATTATGTAAACTATTTATGTAACCAGTAAACTGAAACACGCCGATTGGGAAATATGTATATTGTGTCTGTTATTTTTCATGAAGGGTTTCGTTGTAAAGATTGCGACTGCGTCACGCATGCGTGCTATAAGGATAGCCAGCTGTACAGATTGGTCTACTCTATAACATGTTCCAGTACATTTCCAGTTCTACTAGGGTCCTCTTCGACAAGGAATGAGACGGAACGCTTTGTTCATCTTTGTTGTCCACATGCGTCGTTATATCAAAGTGAAAAAATATAGCTAAGCCTGGCAAAGAATGTATAAACACATACTTTGGCATGATGTACTTCTAAAAAAAAATAACAATAACAATACGTTCTCTTTATTTTCTCTGAATTTTTCTAGTCTCCATTAATAGTTATATATTTCGACCAACAATTTCCAATTTAAAGCACCTTATACATCGTTTAACGTTATATTATTGTTGTTTTTCTAAAACGATGTCTTGGAACATAAAGATTGATAAGTAATATGTAATTATGCTGAGTTAAATGCAATCAAGCACACGTGCAACTACAAAGAAATAGTATATAATATCTGTGTGACACAGTTGTATATACTGCCTGACCATCCGCCGGTGGGACAGTGGTAAGTCTAGGGATTTATAACTCTAAAATCCGTGGTTTGATTCCCCGCGGTGAACACAGGAGATGGACCAATGTGGTTTTGCTCTAAAAAAACAAACAAAATTTTATAATTCCATGTTTTCGGTTCGAAACTGGAGCTTCCGCTAAGTGAATCTTTTTTAGCCGCGGCACAGTGGCTCATTGAACGGCTCTGAATTTTGCAAATACAAACCTTTAGCTCATAACTCCGTCATCTCTTGACCGATATGAGATTTAATTACAGTTTTGGACTCGGGAGTTCAAACCCTTTCGATTGATGTATTAGACCATGCCCAAGGTATCATAGAATAATTTATTCAAATCCTGCCTAAAAGAATTTCATTTGAGGGTAGGCTTGTAGAGATCCTGATGAGCAATAAAATTAAATCGGGTATACGCGCAACCCACGCTTGGTATTACTGGCGCACAAAAATATAGTTAATAAAAAGTGAGGGAAAAAGGTGTAATAGATTAATTCACTCTTATCCTGCCTAAAAGAATTTCAAGTGCCGCGGCTATTGAGGATTCCCTCTTGTTTTTTAAAGGAGCTCATTCAGAGAGCTGGTTATACAATAATTTTCCTCACTTTATAACATTGGTTTACCTATACTTTTCTTTATAATTTTCTCTGAAAATGAATTTTATTTGGGTCAATGATATGATAGCAATGTCTTCTACATTTCTAGCTGACAATGAAGTTCGTACATTTATTTAATTTTATATTAGAGAATATATCAGATTATACGAATAAATCCGTATGGCAATATAAAAGCAACATTGCGTAATGGCTTATCTGCACTGTGATCATAATAAGAATTAAATCCCGAGTTCGAGCGCAATAAACCATCAGGGGAGAAGACTTTAGCTCTTAATCCGTTGTTTTATCCGTTTAAAATGACATTAAACTAGGAACACTAATAATTGAAAGAACTAAATTCACATTTTTTTCAAAATGAAAACACACTGGAAGATAAAAAAAATATATTCTTCTACAGTAGGTATCTGTGACTTGTTGTCGATAAATTCAAAAATAAATGAACAGCACGCACTCCGCTTGTTTTAAAATAATATATTCAAAAGTTAAACGTTGTACAAATTTTTTTACACTATGTATATCATAGTTGTATCTTAAACACTATACAGTTCTCTTCGTCTCGTCAAAAGTCCACTTAGGCCAATTCAACTGTTTTAGAATTCATTTGACAAGCTGTACTATTTTTCTCTACTTTTATCTTAAGCACTATCAGAGTATAATTCATTTATTCGTTTCTTCTCTTTCGTTTCTTTTATCTTTTTATAACAAAAGTATCAGTGTATAATTCACTTACGCTGCCTAGTTGAGTTATCGCAGTTGTATCCTGAACTTCCGATATTCATCTTCTTTTTCGTAGTTAGTAAGCCTACTTTCAAATAATCGTCTACTTTTTGTCAGAGTATACACAGGCAGGTTCAATTGGTTTAGTACAACCTTTGACTAGACAAATTGTTCTCCTAAAATACATTCCTACGACGGTTAACTTTACGTTTTTTAACCTTTCTCTGACCTTAACTCTCTTTCACTCGGCTTTACTTTTGGCTCTCTTCCCGTTTTCTAGTCTCTGGTCTGCTTTGTCTGTCTGCTGTTCCCGCTCGATTCACACTATTTATATATTTTTCACTTAATCGTCTGCTCCCCTTCCAGAAATCTGTATATGCTCGACATCCACGACGTTCCATAGCCTCAACATCAATGAATTATAAACACAACTTCCAACAATCGTCTGCTTTTAACTCTCATATTATGAAAAAAACTAAACAATCATGAAATCTTCACTCACGAAATAAAAAAAATAATAATACCTATACTAAACAGTCTTTTATATCAGGACATTTGGTCAGTAATTGTTAGATGTCCCCTTCCAGTGAGTGCTAAGTCATACAGCATTTCTATACTTGTTAAATATTAAGATATCTTTATTATCCAATGTATACTACATATTTCTCTGAACAACACGAACCCAAGTGTATACACCCAAACACGCGTAGCAAACTACATGATTCTTTAAAGTAAGGCTTCATGACGATGTGTGTCTGACTACATGCACGCTAACTCTTTTGCATCCAGTTTAAAAATGATTAAAATATTTAATCACTTATACTAAACCTATACATCTTTTCGACGACCTTATTTTCATTATGAACGCGCATGCGCCTTAGACACGCACGTAATATTTGTGAACATGGCGGAAAGCACTCATGTAACCTATTCATTCATGTTTCAATTTTTCCGCTTATGAGAAATGAGGTCTTTGACTTCTGTGATCATGACTATTGATCCCTATTGATACAAATTTATCTTTAACTTTTGCAGTCGTAACATTATACAGGTATTTTTATAAAAATGTGACGTCATTTATAAATGTGTGATGAAAGCAGTAGTATAAACATTTCACAGACTTTGATAAACCCGCTCTTATGTATTTCAGCGATGATAATCGCTGTACTTTGTACCCACAAATTTCGATGTGTGTGTATTAACAACAGTTTCTGATTTTATATAAAAAAAGGTTTGTCAAAAGTTTACAAACATTGTGAGATTAACATGAAAAAATCGCTTTATTTACCTGCCAATAATATTTTTACCAAGTTTACCTT